ATAAAAAATATATACTTATATAAAAAAGTAGCGAAAAGAAGGAAGGGAGGAAGAAAAGGGAAGAGAGTTAATATTACCGAAAGAGAAATGATTAAGAATCACTGAGACTTTAATAAAATCTCCTTGTACGATCACTTAAATGATCCTAGAGATTTTTGAAGAAGTTTTGGGTCCATTTTAAATATTTTGTTAATACTGACAGCGGCGGCTTACGAGAAGGTTCTCCTAAATATTGCTTTATTATGTGTAGGAATCCGCAAGATAGTTTTTTTTTAATATTTAGATTATGGATATCCGTTCTGTAAGTTTACTATGTAGGTAAGGATGCGTATGATACAATTTATGTAGTGCCTTATGCAATATTCTTCGGTTTTACATTGTAAGCCATTTCAGTGGCGTACCCAGGATTCATTTCTGGGGGGGCAATATGGTAAAGGTTAAATATAGCACCCGCGCAGGGCCGACGGAGGCTAACCGCCGAAGGCATAAAATTTTGAGTTTACCACGCCCAATTTTTACTCAGGAGCCATTAAAATCGTTAAAAAATCACGCCTTCGTCACCCTCTTGCCTCTTGAATGGGAATTTTTACCCAAAAGTCGTTAAAATCGTTAAAAAAACACGTCTTTTTTTATGGAGCCAACCTACAGTAGTGGATGCTTATTACGCTGCTTTTACTTCAGCAGATTTACTAGAGAAAATATTATTTGACCATTTGCTGAAGAATGAGGCAAACTTAATAAATAAAGAACAAAATTTGCTAGAGACAAAAACAGTAGATCTACTTAAAAACAGAAGGTCTGGCAACGCTGGACCGTTCCCCCGATTGGTTGTCTGCGGGTATCGCGCTACCTGTCTCCTTGCTTTCCAAATGTACGGAGCGTAACATTCATGCATCTGTCATCCTTAAGGTCGCCTCCGTGGTCTCCTGACGCGCCTACCGAAATATTCGGTTCAATGAAACGCCACAGTCGCTGGAATGCTTGACTGTCCTGCTCAATGCAATGCAGGACGTCTGGTAGTCTGGTCACTTTATATACCTATGTATAATGTCAATTAATTTTTCCTGACTTTTCTGGGGGGGGCAATTGCCCCCTTTGCCCCCCCTGAGTACGCCACTGAGCCATTTCGATTCTTTAAATTTATGAGAAATATGTTGATACTTGCGTATCCCAAAGATTAAACGAATACATGAATTTTAAAGTTTTTGAATTCTTAGAGTTCAATACTATCTAAACATGGCCCGTAGACTACATCAAAATGATTACAGTGGGATAGTACCAATGCGTGGCACAGCATTTTTTTTAAATCTAAAGATAAAAATTGTCTTTGAGAGTAAATCATTTTTAGGTTACTATAAGCATTTCTTAATTTAGCCGTGATGTGCTTCTTAAATCGCAATTTTGTATCTACAAGACCTAGGTTTTTACATTTAAGTGTAATAGGTGTATTTAAGCACCCCCTATTATTAGTTGCACAGTGTCCAAAATATTTTCATTGCCAAATATTAGAGCGGATGATTTATTAGGATTAATTTTCAAACAATGATCTTTTGAAATACTAAGGATCTTTTCTAAATCTGAATTTATACGTTGAATAGCTTCTACTTTATCCGTATATTGAAATGAAAAATATTGTGTCGTCAGCGTAAAGATGGTAATGACAATACTCTAGTGCAAGTGGAAAGTTAGATGTATAAAGAGAGAATAATAAGGGGCTTAAAATACTTGCCTGCGAAATACCAGATAAAATTTCCAATGGAGCAGATTTTTTATCATCGACTTGTACAAATTGCTTTCGCTTGTACAAGTAAGATGATAATAACTTATGAGATGTTTCACTAAATCGAAAAAAAATTAGCATTGATAATAAAATAGTAGGATTAATCATGTCAAATGCTTTAGAGTAGTCTAGAAGAATTAATACCGATGTTCTGTTATTGTCCAAAGCCTTCAAAATAACATCTATAACATCAGAAAGTGCAGTAGCACAGCTATAACCATGTCTAAAACCTGACTGTTTAGACGGTAAAACTTTATTGGTAATTAAAAAATGGGTTATCTGTTTTGTAATAATAATTTCAACAATTTTAGAAAAAAACAGGCAGAACACTAATAGATCTCAGATTATTGAAGTTCTTAGGATAACTAACTTTGGGTAGTGGTATAACCTTAGCAAACTTCCAAGTTTGTGGAAAATAGTTATTAGAAATACATTCATTTATGATGTGAGTGACTACAGGCACAATTGTAGAACCGCAGAGATGAACTATATGTATATTTATATGATCAACTCCATGAGCCCGAGTCTTAATATTATGAATAATTGCAGAAACTGTATCTTCATCAATCAAATTAAAATTAAATTCGTAGTCAATGTTATCATTTACATTATTTAAATAAAAATTTACTGTTTCATCATTGCCTGAGCAATATTAATAAAAAAGTTATTAATCTCGTCAACTGATTTTAACTCTGTAGGAATCTCAATATTTTTACTGTTCGATATATTAAGTTTTTTTAGTTCTGACCATTTTTCTTTTGTATTACAATTACGGAATTTAAACTCAAGATAGGCTTTTTTTCTGCATTAATAGCAGTTGTAGCATAATTTCTGAGCTCTATTAGAGTAAGACCAATGTTGGGAGACTGTGTTCTCCTAAATTTTCGTAGAGCTTTATCACGAATGTTTTGTAAAAGTTTAATATTGTCTGTAATCCACGGAGCGTATCTAGTAGATTTTTAAGCTATTGCATAGCTTTTATCGCGGGCTTTGAGTGCGGCGACTGAATCAAGAAATTCTGTAACGACCGTAACGAAAAAAAACCTAACAACCTCCACTCCGACCGGCACAGCGGTGCGGCGTTAAACAATATTAACTTCTCATTTATTCAATAAAAGAAAATCGAAATATCGAAAAATCGAAAAAATCGAAAAATCGAAACAGAAATTTCGTAACGAAATTAAACCTAACACCCCCCACTCCGACCTGCACAGCAGTGCGGCGTTAAAAGCCGTGCATCGTCTAACGTCGTTTCAGTTCGGCAGACTTTAGACACAATTTCGGAAAAATTGAATTTGAAAATGAATAATGATCCACAAGAATCCACAACAAAATATGGGACCACCATTGACGCGGTATTTTCCAGATATTTAGAGAATATCAAGTCTCAAACTTATGTTTCTTATTTCAATTACCAAAAACCTATAGTTTCAATGATAAAAATTCCTGAATAACCTACATGTATTGTAAGATAACAAAAATATTTTAAACAATATTAACTTGTCATTTATTCAATAAAAGAAAAAAATTGTTTTCTTATCGGTCACCACGCTCAAAAAGTGTAACTTGAATTAATATCAAAGAAAAAAATACTGTATAAATAAAATAAATAATTATAATTGCATAAGTTGATAAAAAATGCTATGCAAAAGCTTTACCGCGGCAGTCCCCAAGTGCCACAAGTATTTTTTTTTTGTATTCGCACGTACATTCAGAACCGTAATATTATTGTTTAAAAATTCAATTTTTTTTAACAATCTCATTAGTAGCATAAATGTCATACCAGGGCATCATACTTAAGTCATATTGAAAGTTATTTTATTTTATATTATTGAGTGACCTACAAAATATCTTTTTAGGGTTGCATGTGACTTGATTTTTAACCTTAAATATGCAACTTATGCCTGCGTGGTCAGCAACTAAATTTAAATCAACTAACTCCGTGCAATCATTTGTATCAAAATTAGTGATAACTAAATCTAGCAATGAGAGATTCCTTGTTGGTTCTTTAATTAACTGAATTAAATTAAACGTGTTTAAAATGTTATTGAAATTAAGCGTTAGATTATCATGTAGCATATTAACATTAAAGTCGCCAACACAAATTACAGGATCAAAATTAGAATAAATATCTTCTAAGATAGTTTCTTTTATTTAAAAAATCTTGATTCTTACTCTTTGGCTGACGATGAACAGTTCCTACTGCAATTACTAAGTTTTCAAATATAATTTTAACCCATAAATACTCAATAACATCGTTACACACAGAATATATCTTCTGGCATTTAAATTTATTTTTTAAATTTTAGTTATATCTTCACCATAAAATATTTAACCTTCTATAAAATAAAAATAAAAACTTTTTTCATTGTTTAAAGTAAACAAATCAATTTAATTTTTAAGAAATATATGAAACTTGTTACCTAGTAGGTATTGATTTATATAAACGAAAAAAACTAAGGAATCATGTTCTACCATTAAAACAAAACGAAAAATATATTATTGATCAGTAAACGTTTCACATAATGATTTAAATTGCTCACCTCTTTTATGCGATGCACTGTATCATCATATTTGACAAAAATATCACCATTTCGACACCAAACATTTTTCCAAGAAAATTTTTCTGTTGCATTCGTTAAAATGCCTAGTTTCATTTTGGTTAAGTCCTCTTGAATAAATATTCCAGTAGATTTTAATTTTTTTCTTTGGTGGTATTCGAGAATCGCACCAAAACAGCTGCCGGCCTTGGATTATCGGCGTCCATGTTTTAACTATGAATTCTATGACACTTTTTTATATCGGATAAAGTAACGCTTTTTAATTTCAGATTGTTTATAATTTTTAAAATAACGTCGGAAATATTTTCATTTTCATTCTGTTGAATACCAAAAAACCTCAAATTTTTGTTACGATCTTTTTGTTGTAGATGGTCTAATTCTATTTTCAGTCGCATATTTTCCACGTTGAGATCTTTAATTATTTTGTCTCAGACTGTGGTTGTTCAAATTTATTTGTTATAATGCGCTCCATTTTTTCTACTAATTTTTGTAGGCAATCGGGATCCATCATATTCTGTATTCTCTATTTTTATATTTATCTAATGATCATTGAAATACCTTTTTAAGTACTCATTTAACAAGGTAAGAAGAAGGAGAGAACTCATACAAGAGTCTTGATATTAAAAAAAGTTTCCTAAAAATAATAAAACAAAAATAGATCGTTGGTTAAATTTTATTCTCAACAAGTAGAAACAATTAATGTAAAAAAGTAAATGTATCCAGCAATACAGAGTCCCTGGAATTACTGTATATATCTTATGAAGCTCTATAGAAATAAAATACAGTACATCCACTAATTCTTCGTAACATGTTATAATTTCTATGGTTATCATTGTTGCTTATTTTGTGGAAAATATCTAGGCTTATCGTTTTGTTATTAATTCCGGACACTCTGTAAAATAATCACAATTACACTCTTTCATATAAATACATATAACCTAAGTCTTTTGGAGGATTTTCTGACATGGCAACTTTACTATCATTGAATATAATCCATTGACCATTTTTTAATAAATGAACAACGTAGTGGCCCACCATCGTCGAAGTACCCATGTGGGAAATGAAACCCACCAATTTGTATTCTGAAAATAAAAGAAAAAATAAAATAAAGCTGTAACATCCTAAAGGGGAATCCATTAATTACGTGAGCTCAAAATGGGGGGGAGGTTCGGCAAAATCCCATCAAATCTCATTTAAAGGGAGAATGTGGTCGATGAAAATACTCGTATCGCATATCAACTTTTTAATTCAGAGAATATTATATTGTTATGGCAGCTAACATTTTTTATTACAAAATCAATCCAGGGCATAGACAGTGTTAACACGCTAAGCGCCAAGCCTAATATGCTAAATATTCCAAAAAGTTATTTTTTAAATTATATCGGGCTAATGTATTATCATTGTTTTCTAATTTTTTTTACAAAAACGGATGCGGTTACCATTATTTTCTTGGATGTTTTACAGCAAGTCACAAATACTAAAACATTTTTGCATCTTGATTTGACTTATTTATGACCTGTGTGTTTATAAAAATGTTTTGTTAGTTTGAATTTTCTTAAATAAAATTCAATAGAACATAAAAAAAACAACTTATTAAATTTTACCTGTATTTTACTGGTGTTACTATCAAAGTTATATGCCTGAGTTTTGGAAAAATTCCGCACGGGCCACAGCGGTAGAAAAGTACATGTGTTGGAGGGCATACAGCCAAGAGAACTTGATTTTTCAATGTAAACAGTTGTTCACTGATGACCACCGTGGCGCTTAACGTGTTAAATATTGTCTACCCTAAGAGGTAATATTTACTTACTGTTAATAAAGGTTTTACTACTATTTACTAAAACGTTTCAATAAACGTCCACAAATAAAAATTTCTCAAATACTAATAAAATTGGACGATACTTTGGAGTGGCTGCACGAGAGGATAAAGATACATACATTTAATGATTGTCTTCCTATACAACCAAAAGACATAGCCGTCATGTCCAATCATTATTGTAATGTGAGCCATTTCATTAGTCAGTCATGCTCTAATACTCCAAGTCCCTCTCTGTATTATTTGGCCTTTGAGGCTCAACTTGTCCGCTTATTATACATAATTAAACCCCTTAAGACCAAACCTATGGGACGACTATGGTGGAGACACTTTCGCGAACATTCCAGGATCAACGAGATACTATTTCTAGAACGTGATAACGTTTCTGGTACATACTGGCAATTTTGGTGGGGGAGCATTCTAGATCACCAATTTGTATATAAATTGGTAGAGGAGAGCCATCAAAATCAGTATTATATGAACAGTGAAGATAAATAGTAATCAGTGATATATAGACAGCTGACAATAAAGTATTGGACTGTGAATATAAATAGTGAACGATTCAAAGACATTAGAAATATATATATAAATTAGAAATAGTTGTGTTATAAAATATATAAGTGTTTAAATAAATTATTAATAAATAAACTGTTGTTTGAAAATAAACAAACATCACATTATAATAGAGGAACCACATGAATGCTCATGCAATCAGAACATATCAAATAATTTAATTTACTTTAAAATTATAGGGCAAATCTCACGTGAGCGGGTAGGGAGGATCCCACCACATCTTACCAAATCTCAATAAGGAGAATGAAGTGTCCAAATTAAAAAAAAAACTCACGTAATTAATAAAAATTGCTTAAATGTCGGTTAAGTTCTATGAATTAATTTAAGTTACGGCTATGCAATGGATAGTCACTTACACTTAGGCCGTAGTTCTTTACACATGCCAAGTTAACACCAGACATTTTCCTATATTATTATTTCCTATACTTACTTCCATCCCCGTCTCTGAATTGCGGAGCTGGTGGCGATTTAACGTCATCTAATTCATCCTGATGTGAAAATATCCAATCCATTGCTCGTTCAACGTTATTATCAGTAGCTTTCAAAGCTTTTTTGGCTTGATCCGGGGTAAATCCCATGGAAATTATAGTGGCTAAAGCGTCCGGATTCGGTTCGAACTTAGAAGTTTCGAGTCCGGGAGGAATGAAAGGATCAGTAAAATCAGAATCAGCGATGTGTTCCATTATCCATGCAGTAGCCGCTTCTAGACCTGAGTTACCAGTGTTGAATATCGCTCGTTTGCAGGCTTCGATTGGGAAACCTTGAAAAAAAAAATTGAGTTTACAGTAAAACATAAGTATTTTAAATATTTTTCGGTGACCATCACTAAAAATTTAGATATCAAATTTAAATTTTCGATAAGTGGAACTCCATTATTTGCAAGATAAGTGCAAACTATTCATAAGTTTCTCTAAAGTCTTTCCTTACTGGAAATGTTAATTCTCATTAAAAAATATTGTATTCAACCAATAGAACGGTGTCTAAAATTATGCAGTTCCTCTATGACAAGTAAAAAGTTGGCACTGCCCGGAAACCGATTTCTACCACTTAACCCCATTTTTATAAACCTTTGAATGTAATAGGTCAGCATTCCTTTAAGGTAAACAGGTTGTCAAAATAATGTTGAAAAGCTTTTAGTGGAAAAGGAAAAAAATGTGTTATACTCTTCATTAGAAAGTAGAACTGTTAAATGTATACATCATTCTAGTTAGTTAGGTGTGTGTATATTTTATCAAAAGTTAGGAAATTTTACATCGTTTTTTTTTTTAGTGTACAAAATAATTAAATAAGAAACGTTTACATAATTAACACACTCCAAAGATAAATTATTATTTTGTTACCATTGGCCATAAGTAGTGCCATGACCCTACAAAAATTTTAATTTCTACTTCTTTAATTTAAAAAATAATATACTATAATAAAGGAAAATCCAATCCATGCAAAATAATCAAATTACGGTAATACATTTAAGTAGTTTCCGTAGAGAAAATATAATTAAAAAAATAGTACACAAACTGTTGAAACATTCAACATTTTAAAACATGGAACAATATTTAATTTTAACAATTAGTATCTGGGCTCAAAAATCTTAAAAACCAACTCTGTATGTTTATATTCTCGAGGCCTTACGCAATCCACGTCACAGCATACGTCACAAGTCATGTGAACACTTATTTTTAAAACGATTGGGTAAGACGTGTCAACGCAAGCGACGCTACCTCAATCCGTCAATAACTAGAGCAGCAGTAACTGAGTTTTGGTGAGAGTTACTGTAACTCTCACCAAAACCACTTCTTTTCACCGTCAACTGCTCATCCATTCAGCTATGCGTCATATCACCATATTTAATTTTGTAAAACTAAGTAGTAATAATACGGTAGTTCAGTGATGATGTAATTATGGTTCCACTGACAATTAAAGTGACAGTAGATTTTTTGAGTGCGTTTTGTTCGTTTTGTTCGTTTTGTTCGTTTTGTTCGTTTTGTTTACCTAAATTATATCGTTTTTTTTTTTTTTCACTTTTATGAATAAATTCCTGAAGTAAGTAGATAACATGCATTAAATATACAATCGTTTAGTTACCAATTACATACTTTCAAACTATTTTTTATGACCTGTAAACAATATCTAGAAATAAACTAAAAACAGTAAAAACGTATATGTCAAATTTATTGATGTTTTTGTTAAAAGTTTGGTTAGAATTAAAAGTCAGTGGAACCAAAATGACATCACACCGAACTAGCGTATAGAAGTTCAGGTCAGAGTGTGATGAATTTGCATAGTTGGTGTTTTTATCACAATTACTAAATGCAATCCAGTGTTGTACATAAAGTTTTTAATGGATCTGCAATATTAAATGGTGTTAAACATTTCCAGCATTTTATTTCCCACCAGCAGAAGGTAACTCAGCTTTTTACAGTTCATTGTTTGTAGTCGGAGAATGATGTGGAAAATGTGAGGGGTAAGCACTTGCCCAGCATATAAACCTTTCTTTTAACTTTGTAATAATCTTTTAAACATTCTAAATAAATAGAAATATGCATTATTTAGACATGATAGGCTATTTAATTCGCAAGATAAGCATGTCAGTGGATTACTACGAACATTATTTGTTAAATGATTATTTTCATATAACAACGATCTATTGTCTATTCCTAGTTCTTGATAAAACATTAAATTTAAATAAAGAAAGCAATTCATGACAATTTATTACACCATTAAAGAAGTCATGCAAGAAGAGCAAATACACATCACGCCTTCGTTTTCTAAGAGAGTAAAGATTAGTCATTTCAGAAATTTGACGATACACAGTATACAGCCAGTTCATTTCTAACGTATATGTATGTATGAAAACCTCCTTTGTAGTCTCAGTCAATTCTACATCACACATGTATAGTAAAGACCAAACAATTGAAATCATATTCTTGAATTATTGACCTGACGAAACATGAATAAATGAGTTATTTCTTAAAATAAAACTCTACATGTAATGTTTTCCATAAGAGATTTAAAAGTTAACTTAGAGTTAAGTAAGGTCCCAAGATCTCTTATTTCACATACTTTTTTATCATTGTCATTTACTTTGAATTCATAAGAATAGCTGGTTTGCTGGTTACACATCTCGTAAAAGCACTTGTTTATATTTAATTCTAGTAAATTTGTTACTGACCAGTCATGCAGCTTATTCATCACCTTTTGCAGCGTACCACTATTCTTTAAATCATATATGTAAGTTGGCTACATATGGAAAACTTTTTATTATTTGTTTTATCTATAAAGAGTTTTGCATAGACTAAAACCTAAAATGAGTTGATGGTTGAATTGACCTATTTTGTAAGGAATTTAAAGTTGAACTTGCTTAATTTTTTCACTATAAAGATTTTTGAATTTAAAGACCTCATGGAAGGTGGTACTCACACTCAAATACAAACTAAAAAAGGTATTATTTCAAGTAATGTTTACCCTGCAAAAAAAACTACATTTCCTAACTCTATCTAGTATTTTTTTGCATATCTTCTTTAATTTACAAAAATCATTCCAAATTTCAAAATTGATTCAAAATTTTCCAATCTAAGCTTTCTAAACGTTTTCAACTTCTAGAACATATTATGTATAAATTTAATTCTTGCAGAGAAGCCATTGGCTTCATCGCTGAGTTTTTCTCGAAACGAAATAGCCACTTGATTTTCATGGTAATTCTGTCAGTTTTCCTTTTAAATGGCTTTTCAAGCACTTAAAGAAGCTCTGAGATTCCTCTATCGTGTTTCCGTTTTTTAACGTTGAAATTTTTCATATCAATTTTTGGCAAACAAATAGTCACCTTCAACGAGCCATAACTCAGTTCATATTGCATCTACAGAAATGAAAAAATCTAACGATATCTTGCATAGTTCGCATGTTGTTTTATGGCGTTTTTGGAAAATTTACGTAGGCGTTGGTGCTAAATTTTTGTATGTTTTTGTAATCTTTTAAAAAAGTGTTTTTGACATTGGAATTTATTAACATTGAACTGATAAATATGGTTTTAGTATTTAGGGTTGGTTGCTGGAAAAAATCCTCGACAAGCACAGATTCTTTGCGACTTTCTGAGTGTCATAAGTTTCTAGTAACTGAACCGATACATATAATTGAACAGTTAACCAAGAAGATAAACAATGTGGCCATAAAAATTCGACAATTTCTAAACTTAATAATAGAGTACAGGGTTTTTACAAAGGTGAACAATTATTTTAGTGTATTTTTTTCAGTCTTAAAGATGTATTGTTTTATTTTCTTTATAAATAGATTAAAATAGATATTTGGTCTTTGTTTTGCTGCAAAATTGATTAAAAAAAGAAGAAAATGTCTCATAAATTTAGTAACGAGCCGATTTAACAAGCATTGAATAATGGTCAAAAAAAGGAGAAATTAAACACATTTTTAAATTTTATATTTCAATACTAAAATTAGTTGACATCACACACTTTTGGCAATTTTAATGTATTATGTACATGTATTTCGATAACAACCTGCATAAGAATAAAAACGGTCACAACACATTCAAAATATGACAAAACAAATAAAAAGATTAATTCTGAAATAAAGAAAAAAAATTAATATATTTTTACATCCCAAACCGGAAAATGTATTCCCGAACTATCAATTTTAGTTACCTAGTAACCACCAGAAAAATAAATAACCTATTTTGTGACACAAAAATTAGTCAAGAATGCTTAATTTCTGCGTAACCACAGAAAAATACCTTTTTCATATCAATCACTCACCCATATCTGTCAACTGACTAATAACACCCTCGTCCATAGGTGGTGCTGGTGGTCGTGCTTCTAGTTCTGGTAATAACTCTTCACCGGGTTGAGGACCAGCCCCTCGAAGTGTAGAAATATCCAAAATATCAGGCATCTCTATAGAAACATCTAATTTAATAGGTACCCAATCTTCCCTTAGTGTGAATTTCTTGAGATGTATAACAAGAAAATCAGGGAAGGAAGAAAGTCTCGTTGTTCTAAAAAAAATAGGTATATGGTATTTCTTTTTAATTGTATATACACTCTGTCTGAAATTCTCTCTCACTTAATTTTTTCGAGAATTATAGCTAACCTCATATCCCTTTTCAAAATTATTAAGTTATATAATTATAGAATTATTAAAAAGAAAAAAATTGCGACTTAGTTTTTTTAAATGGCGGCTTTTAACCGTTGAACTAACATTCCAAATGAAGTGTTACATTCTTAAGCCATTTTTTGATGGAAAATTTTTGTAGAAAAAGAAACCTAAATTGTATATTTGTTTTCGAGATACCTGTCGTTACTTTGTAATTTCTTATGGCAGCCATCTTGGATTTTTACATATTATTACCCTCTTAATTACCTTTTAAATGATTCGGATTTTTAAGAAATACCTTCAAATTGAAAAATTGTTTTTTGTTTAATTTGGCAACACCGCTCCTTCTAAATAGCATGTAGCACACGAAAATGCATTAGTTTAGTACTGGATATTTTTATGAGAATTGCACAACTAAGTGGCCTAACACAAAGATGGCGCGAATTCGGAGGAATCTTCTTTACCATTCTGTAGATTCATTTTAAAATAGGCATTAGAGATGTGAACTCTTCGTTCTTTTTAAAGACCTAGTTCGCGCGAACTAGTTCACCCGCGCGAACTAGTTCAAAGAACTAGTTCGCGAACGAACTACTATTTTAACCGATTGGAGAAAGCGGATCATGCGCTCAGAGTGGCGAACGAAACTGGTTGGTAGTTCAATTGTTCTTGTATTGTTGTATTTTACAAATTCGTTTTATTTTTTTAATTATAATTGGTAATTATTGGAGTTAAGTAGTTTTATTTAGCGTTTTTTAATTGCAATTGTGTCAAAATGAACAAACGGTGTCGAAGTGTTTTGTGGGACCATTTTGATAAAAAAGCCAAATGTAAATACTGCGGTCAACTAATTAGTATCTCAGGCGGATCGCTCGGAAATCTTCGACGGCATATTAGTAGTAAACACATGTTGCTTAATATAAATAATAACAATGTGTATCATTGACCCTGTCGGCCTGTCAAATCCGTTCAAACCCGACGCGATACCCGAACTCCGAACGAAAGAATTACAATACCAATAGATACAAGATACAATACCGATACCCGATACCGATCAAGGACGACGTATATCAATCATGTTCGTTCTCGTTCGTCGTTCTTTTCTCATCGCTGCCGCTGAAGGTCGAGTCGAACTAGTGAACTAGTTCAATTAAAACATTCGAACTAGTTCATTTAGTTCACACAAAAGAACGGCTCATTTTAATAGTTCGTTCGCGAACTACACATCTCTAATAGGCATTCCAAACAAAATGGTTGCCTGTAAACATTGATATAACAAACCTGTGGGCCTGGTGGATATGACAGAATGAATGAGATAGATAAATAAATAGATCACCTATGCCTTGAAGTAAAAATGTATGTAATTATTTTTTTACTATATTCAAAAGCTGAAAATTGGATTAAAAATACATTTTTGATAAACGCAATTCTAATTAATGAGCACTGGCGAGGCAATATGGCCGCTCGCAATGCGACCCGCTTTGAGTAATCTATATAAATGTATAATTGACCCTGTCAAAGCCACCAGACCCGAAGGGTTGCAATCTCCGAGCAATTACTAATAGAGGGAGCGTGAAAACGAGTTTGTAGGCGATTGTTGTGTTAGCAACATCTGTAAAGGAAGTGAGGAAGCGAGCACAAGGGGGAAGGTAAACATCCTTCTTGTTCAGTGGCGTATCATTTATCTATAAAAACACACATTGTCCAAACGTTTTAATTGTAAAAAAAAAACTAAAAAATTTGCTAATTATACTATTTTTAAAATGAATACCGTCTTATATGTGTCTAATGCAGGAAAAAAAACAAAATCACTGTAAAGGTCTAATTTTTTCAATTGAAGAATAAAACCTTAAAATCAATTTTATTATAAATACAGGAGCGACTAGTTTCGGCCTTACAGGAACATCTACAGGCCTGTAATACAATAACCTTTAATTATTATAATAGGTTGGTCACTTACGAATAACATTAAATAGTATAAATCACATAAATGGATCCATATTGTAGCGTTACAGCATTATAGAATTAAAGCTGTGAAAATAAAAGAGCAGTGCAAACGTAACTAAAAATAAGAAAACTGAGTACGGAATCTACAAGAGAAGAGGTGAGAATGAGCAATTACGAATGCATTTAAATTGCTCGAGATAACAAATAAAGCTGATAATGTAGTGGTATAGTCAAAGTCAAGGTCTGGATATGTTAAAGAGGACGGCGTTTTCTCTGTAAATCTGGAGAATGTAAAGATGGAGGGAAGACGAATCTTGTTGGCTCAGGTGTAGATGGCTAGAAAAAGGAGCGTGTAGATGAAAGCTCCAGTAAATATCGTCACTTTCGTCTAATTTTTATTCTCACTCACCGTTTCGGCTTTATCTTTGAAATTCATTTTTAAAAGGAAATAAAAGTAATCATTCATACAGGCATATAATAAAACAACATGAATTCATTATATTTAATAAGCTAATAAACGTTTGTTTCAATGAAAAGAACATATATGTGAGTATAAAAAATATATAAATAGATAAGATTAATATAAAAATCAATTTGAAAATACAACAGATAATAAAATTAAATAAATTAATACAAGTACAAATAGAAAGTTAATAACATACCTTCTAAAAGTAACACATTTTAGGTAGATAAATGTTATGTTATGTTGATAATGGGGTGTTAATACACTGTGACCTAAAAGATCTATTGTGCCCCCTTCTGTCGCCACTGCACTAAGGAAATGTCTCAATGCCTATAGCGACCCTTCCAATCCTATTTTCTCAAGGAAGTGTAGGATTTGAAGTGGCTTCAAGTTAGGTAAGTCTCCCTCTTCTATTTGATATCCTCCTAGATATAGTGCCCTTGGATTCTGGAGTGCTACACATTCAGTTAGGATGTGAATGGAGGTTTCGTCCTCCTCCTCACAGAATCTGCACTCACTATCCTCTACTACTCTCAGTTTACTTAGGTGTCCTTTTAGTCGGCAGTGCCCGGTAAGGATCCCTGTTACAATACGTAGCCTGTTCTTGCTCAGGCAGATGCAGGCTTCCGATCTTTTTTGGTTATATTCATCCAGAAGTATCTTGGCCTGTCTCAGCCCCAAGAGATTGTTCCAATTATCGGTTCTTCTACTACCCAATTCTTTTTTAATCTCTTCTAATATTATGTTACTGCTGATACCGCAGAACGGCTCAGGTCCTACAAAGGGTGTTTGAGCCCCTTTCCTTGCAAGACTATCTGCAATCTCGTTACCCTGTACCTCGTTATGTCCCGGGACCCAAGTGAGAGTAACTCTATTTTTCTCGCCTAGCTCATTCAATTGTTCTAGGCATCTCCATACCATTTTTGAGCTGATTACGTAAGAACTCAGCGCTTTGATGGCTGCTTGACTATCGGACATGATGATAATCTCTTGTCTATGATAGTTTCTCTCGATGTTAAACTGGATACACTTCTCGATGGCGTGAATTTCCGCCTGGAAGATGCTTGGGTATTTTCCCAAGCTTTCGGAGTGCTTGGTTCTCGGCCCATACACTCCTATTCCAGTTCCTTCTATGGTTTTGGAACCGTCCGTGTACCACTGAATAGCACGTCTTTCGGTTGTAAGCGCGATGGATTCTTGGCTCCATTCTTTCTTGCAGCCCAGCTCTGTGGTTTTGAAGTTTTTCACAAAACTGTACTTCTTTTGCATTTCATCCCGGGGCATGTCTCAGGTATCTTTAGTCCTGAAGCAAGTAGACTTTCGTCTGATTACTCCGCTCCTGATCATTCTATATCGTGTCCTTTTTGCCACATTCTCTATCATCAAATGTAGAGGGGTGAGGTTTAAGATCACCTCCATTGCGGCCGTAGGACAGGTTCTCATTGCACCAATAATGCAAACACAGGCTAGTCTTTGTACTTTTGAGATATTAGCTCTCATAGTAACTAAACTAGTTCTGTTACTCCAGGCTATAGCCCCGTAAGTGATGATTGGTCTCACTATTGCAGTATACATCCATCGCAGTATGTTTGGGTTACATCCCCACCGTTTACCCGCCATGTTTCTGCATACCATTAGGGCTTCTGTGGCCTTATTTACTACTTCCTTCTCATGTGTGTTCCAGAGAAGTTTGTTGTCCAGGGTTAGGCCTAGATATTTGACTTCATTTTTCCATTCTATATCTATCCCGTCTAATTTAACGGTTTTGAGATTAAGTTTTCTTTTCCTTGAAAAGGCTACTAGTGTTGTTTTTGTAGGGTTTATACTAAGTCCCACTTCACGGCACCATCTTTTGGTATGTTCTAGTCCTCTTTGGACTATATCACACAGGATATTACTAAACTTGCCACTAGCAAATATGACTATGTCGTCGGCATAACCTTGACAGGGTATGCCGAGGTCAGTCAATCTGCATAGAAGTTCGTCTACGATTAGGCTCCACATTAGTGGGGATAGAACTCCTCCTTGTGGACATCCTCTGGTTGTGCAGATGGAGATGGTGTCCTGCCTAGATAAATGTTTAAAGAGTTTATTCCTGAACATAACTAATCTAACGTTTTCCCCTTTTTAATATTATGAGGGTTTTTGTAGTTGAAATGAAAATTATAATTTATTTTGGTCCTAATAAAAATTTAAACATAGGTTATCAAAGAGAAAAATTCATAATAGAACTTCATAATCTTAAATCGTTATCAAAAATTATTAATGGTAAAACTTCAAACAATAATTAGATTCTTAAACAAATTTCTAGTTTTTGTTTTGCAAAAGACTTTTTTGCCTTCTCCAATAATAAATATTCACATTTTTTTGGACGTTTTTTAAGGAAATTAAAAAAAAATATGAATAATGTGATATTCTTGTTTAGTTTTGTAGTATATAATATAGTTCATTAGGTAGTGATTTAGAAGCAAATTATGTTCTATTTATAGAATAAA